AGTCCCTGAATGCCAAATGTTTTTTTATAAGGAAACAGCTATCATTACCAGTAACATTATTAATTATTGTTGGTAATCTGTTATTGTGCCTAATTTATAAATTCATTGACATGAAGTGGAAAGATTTATTGAATCAATTGCTAGGTCAGCTGCTAGAAAAGCTGGTTCACTGTGTCATGTCGGATAATTTTTCTCATAAAAATCCATCTTACACATTTATAAATCTACCATTTATCTGTGCATTGAATATTGCTGCTATCTCTGGTCTGGTGCTCCTGCTATATATCTCAAGACTCAACAAAATACAAAGGAAGGACTTATGTTATTAGTCTCGATCAGGCAGCTTGGCTTCAGTTACTTTCTCACTTCTATGACATGGCTTCCCTCTGTCTTTTCTATAAATATTTTCATGGTAATTGTTCTGAAGAGCATTCCTCCTTGATACCTCAGCTGCTTGAATTTAAACATACTACTAGACTGCATGGTGGCGTAATGGATAGCGGCTAGGATTGAGGAATTCCAGTCGAGTCCATTACATTCACTTACGTACTAATACCCTTGGGAAAGGTATGAATCCTCTTCTTCAATGGGTAAATAGCAGGACAGACCGGGTTCTATAGCCTTGGATGGCAACTGGTCTACTGCAGAAAGAAATGGCAACCTACTGTGGGAAAAAAAACTGCCTTGTCAGTCATGTATCGAAAGATACATGATTGCTTACATAACCGACTGACTAGATTGGTAAATATGTACCATCATTTTACTGTTAAATTAGCTAGATGTAACCATAAGTTCTATTCTAACAGTTTCTTTTCTTGCACTTTTTGCCTGTGGAACTCGCTTCCAGTTTTTCTTCCTTGCTGCTTACATTCTTCAAAAATTTAAATGCAACATTAATCACCATCTTCTGTCTTCCTGAACCCTGTTCTTTTATTGTCCTTTCTCTTCACTGAAGTTTTCTCATTCTCTTTCACTCACAGTAATCCCTTGTGTCTTAGTGGCATTATCACCTTCCTTGGGGTAAAATGATTAAAAAACAAAAAACTTCATCATAGGCATATATGTATAAGAAAGAAGATAGTATATATAAGACATGGTGCTATTCTGTTTCAGGAATCTGTTGTTTTTGGAAACTTATCCCCCTGCATGTAAGGGACAACTACATTTAACATCATCTACCTTTTTTTGTATGGGGAGCAGCAAGAATTATTTTAGGGATACTGACCTGAAGTTTTTTAAAAGTAATATTAATGTATGCTGTGCAAAATTTCCTTAATACAAATTCTTCATTAGTCTTTAACTATCTTTCCTTTCTTGGCCAACAGAATTCCAAAAGTCTTTTATAATATTCAGATCAGGGTTCTGCAGAGGCTAATCTATGACTGTCAAGAATTCATCAGTATATTTTTTGTCCACAGATAATTTCACTGCATAAGTGGTGTGTTTGGGACCATTGTAAAATTGTTCCCAATCAAATGCTTTCCAAACAGACAGATATGATGAATGAGAATCTTCTGGTAATTTTCAATGTTCCTGATTGCATTAGTCCTGGAAATATCTAGGTTTGCATCCCTATACCATTGCATAACATTTGTGAGAATTCAATAAATGCTACAAACACATATTGCTGTATTTCTTTGCAACTCTTTACACATACTGTCAGGAATATGAAATCAAAATTCCAAATTCTGAATCATCATCCCAAAACATCCTTTTTCCATTGATCCTCCCTCCAGTTTCTTTTACCTATTTTCTTGGCTGCTACCATTTCATGAAGATCATTTTAAATAATATTTCTTAAAATTATAAAACAATCTAGTTCCAGCTGCATCTAACAGACACTGTGTAAGGTATTTACATTATTTAAGTGTGAACTGATGTCCTCATCTGTGCTGTTATTATCCCAAAGTTTTGACTGTTGTACTCTCTGGTCTTCATCAGGTATTTGTCAAACTTCAAGGAATTTCAAACTGAACCCTTTATTTAATTTATGAGGTAGATTGTTCTTGTTTCACTATGTCTAAAGATATCTCATCTAGTACTGCTCAGTTAATTCTTTCCTCATAAATAATATTGATATGTCCCAGAAAGGGATATATTTGAATGAAGTAGTTAAGTAGTTTTGGCTACTGTAACCAAGTAGAATATGGTAGCAGTAATCAACTTGTATGCGTTGTAGTCGCAGGTAAGAAGTGTAGATCAATGGTGTAGTCCAATGGGCGTCGTTATAGACTCAGTCTAAGGCTCTGAATCTCCTACCCGTCCGTTGGTATTTATGACGGACACCAGCCAATCATATTCCAGTGAGGGGGAACACAGGTGTATGCATATTCCATTATATCAAATATTAACTACTTATCCCAGAAGCTCAGACTGAGCAAGTTGTTTGCCCAATTTTTTTTATCCTGTCTCTTAATGAAAGGACTTTAAGAAACTACTCAGTAAATGAGGATGCATGGTGGGGTAAAGGATAGTGTCTTGGATTGAGGAATTGGGGAACCAAGTTCAAATTCCAGTTGAATCTGTTACATTCACTTACGTGCTAATACCCTTGGGAAAGGTATGAATCCTCTTCTTCTCCCACCAGCTATGGGTAAATAGCATGAGAGACCGGATTCTCTAACCTTAGATGGCAACTGGTCTACCATAGAAAGAAATGGCAACCTACTGCAGGAAAAAAATCTACCTCATGTATCAAAAGATACATGATCTCCTAAGCATGTATCACGCATGGCACCTAACTGACTGACTCACTAAATGTGGAAGACATTTTAGGGCTTTCATATTTTTTGTCCATCTTTTCAGAATTAAAATTTCTTAACCGTTTAGATTGTATATATTGAGAATTCGGGTACCTCGACGTGGTGTAATGGTTAGAAAGCATGTTTCGCTAGAACAATTACAACTGAGTAGTGAGTTCGATCCTAACTAGGTGCCCCATACTTTTGGCCTTGTGCCACATCTAAGCTACGCTTGGGAAATCATTTTCGGTGAGCTCGAGGCGGTGTAATGGTTAGAAAGCATGTCTCGCTTGGGAACTGAGTAGTGGGTTCAATTTTGAGTTCAATCTTCACTGGGTGCTCCTTGACGGCCTTATGCCTCATCTAAACTACACTTGGGAAATCATCTTCAGTGACAAAAGGCGGTGTAATGGTTAGAAAGCTTGTCTCGCTAGAACAATTACAACTGAGTAGTGAGTTCAATCCTCACTGGGTGCCCCATACTTTCGGCCTTATGCCTCATCTAAACTACACTTGGGAAATCATCTTCAGTGACACCAAAGGGGTATAATGGTTAGAAAGCTTGCCTTGTGCCACATCTAAGTCGGGATTAGAAAATCACTATATTGAGAATTCAGTCTTCATTTTATTTCATTTTGGGGGTTGATACAAAATAATTTTTTTTATGTCTGTCAAATTTGAAAATTATTCATATTTCATATGAACTGACTTTTCTTCCATCCTAGTAAATTAAAAATGCCTTTTTTTCTGAAAAACTCAGACATAATTTTTCTTTGATGTCTAAACACATTAAAAGAATGTTTTAATTTATAATCCATCACAAACATAAAAAGAGATAAACTAAATGAAAAAAATAGAAAATTTGATACATTATACCAAAAGACAAGCTGAGAAAATTTTAAATTTGTTCAAGAGAGTTCTGTTCCATTTACAAAAGAAAAGTCATATTTATTTTAACTTACTGAACTATGAAATTTAAGTGTCCTTGTGTTGTATTTCAGTGTGTACATATTTGATAAATGTATTTTTATGAATAAACTAAAAAAATAAATATGTATAACTCCTTTTAACTTTGCAAAATTTCTTAAAAATTATAAGGGTATAATTGTCCAAGAAGTAGATCAATATGTCCATAGCTTTAATACAGTTATTAAATGAATTTTGATCTTAAATTTTCTCTGTATAAGGTTTGATCTATATAATTAATGGGGCTGTATTTAAGTACATTGACTGGGAAGGAGATTAAAAAAACATTTGCACTAAAAATTCTTTTTCATTGCTAGGCTATGGACTTACAGATGCACACAAAAGAAAGAATAGTAAGATATATAATCCGGTGTTCTTATAGATATTTTTATTTTTACAAAATAGTGCTCAATGTAAATTTACAGAGCATTAATATTATAAATTAATTGATTTAAAATATGGTTTTTCCACTACACAGTTCTAACCATGTTTCAAAAATGGATGGTCGAATTTAATTTTGTAATTAAATGTCTTTAATTTAATTACAAAATTAAATTGATCAATCCATTTTTTGAAACATGGTTAGCCTTTGTGGAAAAACCATATTTTAAATTAATTAATTATAATATATATATATATATATATATATATATATATAAAAAAAGTAGTAATGGATTTTTTTATTTATTAAACTGACAGATATTTATCACTTTAAACATTGTTTTTAGTGGATATCCATATTTGAGTGGACACACCATTTATTTTTTTAAACTGTATATTTATTTTCATCTACTGGCCTGAACATTAAAGAAATCTTATTAAAGAAAAATGTGCTTCCACTGGCAGGATTTGAACCTGTGTCTCCCTTTTCAGAAGAAACCATCATTAAATCTGATGTGCTTGTATACAAAACTGAGCAGATATGAACTTTTGAGAATCAGGTATGGGAAGGTATTTATTTATGGCACTATTCAGTCTTGCTTGAACAGCAATAACTTTTGCAGCTGAACCGATTTAATGATGCTTTCTCCTGCAGTAGAAGAGCTAAAACTGAGCTGAACTGCAGAGTCAATATGTAGAATAGCATTTATCTTTTTTATCTTATGGCATTCTTTTTGGTTTCAACAAGAACTTTTCAGCATCCCCATGTGTGTGTGTGTACTATATATATATATATATATATATACATACATACATATACACACAAGTATATATTATGCACACATATTCTCATCTACTTGCTAACAAAATTGCATTTAAATTAAAACAAAAAGCAAAATATCAATAACTCACCACCAAGTGGCCTGAAAGAGAATCCTTCATCAGAGACCCTAAAATTTCCAAGTCTTCCTGTTTTCAGTTGGGTTGAAAGCAGACCTTTTATAACTAGTTCATTCACGTTTTCTCTGGTACCCAAATCCAAGGAAACGATTGCACCTTGTCTGAAAAACAGTTAGCAAAACAAATACGCTATTTAATCAAAAGTGAAATTTTGATGAAAATTATTTTTCTTCTTAGCAATTTTAGCAAAGTGATCAAATGAAAAACTAACTTAAGGAAAATAAAAAGGTTTTACTTTTTAATATATAATACTAATATATAGATATACTAACTTAAAAGCTGCCCTATTAAGTGGCCTTTAACCTAGCTCCTTGATTGTGGTTAGCTAATCGCTGTTGAAAATGCCTTTTCAGGTATATTTATGTTTGATCAACACTCACAGAGCCTACCTGTGGTTAATACTGTATGCTGAGCAGACCTTAGTTACAGTTTCACAGAGAGAGTGCATAATGTGGCATGATCACCATTTTGAACAAGGATAGTATGCTCAAACAATTAGGACAGTCTCCACAGGCTGACATTATCAAGAAATCACATTCATGACAAATCAAAAATAGTGAGATTTGAACCCGGGTCTCATGGTTCTAACCACTTGGCCATGTGCACACTTGAATCTGTAGGAAGGTAAGGCAAGAGTATGTTGAAGATGGGGGGAAACACCTAACAGGTAACAGATTGCTCTCTCAACAATTAAAGTAGAACAGGCAGAGAAAGAAGAGAGAAAGATGAGAAAATAAAAAAAAATAAATAATGGCATGTGAGGATACTGCTTCAAAAAACTACAGCATGGTGGGGCGGCATGCAACTTCCAGAAAAAATGCACTAAGGGAACATCTTTACAAAACATCGAATCTCTGATGATAGCAGAACGGGTCTCGCCAAAAGCAGACTGCTGGTTTTCCCATTGCATTTATTAACATGAGACGGTTGACAAAGATCTGAACAAGTTGTAGAGAGGCCCATATCTGGATATGACAAGCTGTTCTTCTGCTAACAGGGAACTTGGATGTGACTGTTTTTGACAGGTCTGCATGTGACTCAAAACCTCTTCTGTATCTGTACTGACATGCATTCATCACAGTACAACAATTAGAATATCTTTAAAAAGAATTTTCATAACATTAATTCTTAATTGAAAATAAATTTTATTCAGTCTTAAAATAAGTTCATACCTATCTCACTATTTATTTAAATAAGTTAATACCTATCTAAAACTGTTTTACCTAACAATATCAAATGCAGGTGCTGTAAGCTTGGATGTGTGGGTGGTGTAATGGATAACGGCTTGTAATGGGATATCAGAGATCTGAGTTCCAATTCCAGTTGGGTTTGTTATATTTACTTCATTTACTTTTGGAAAGGTATGAATACACCTTTTCTCTCCCCCAACTATGGGTTAATTAGTAGGACTTGTATCAGTAAATCATTATCTCAAAAAAGTCTTAGAATTGAAAAATATTTTCTGGCTTTAAATAACTTGCAAAGGGTTGATAAACTGTAAAAATCAAATCAGTCAACCAATCAATCCATGTTATTGCTGCTGCAACTCCTACTAGCCCAGCTAGCCTTAGTTGTTAGAGAATTAGCTCTCTTTCTTATACATCATGAATAAATTGAAGACTTGGCTGTTGGGTATTCCTCAGGAGTTGAGATGTTCAACAGCTAAGTAAATAAATTTATTGTTGCTGCTTTTGTGTGTCCTACCAATCAGTATGTCCTACCACCACATTTGTATCCTACATGATCTAACGTAAGGGAGTGGAAAGCAAAAACGGAAGGAGGGATGCCATTTATTGTGGTATTATAAAATTTAAAATAAAAAAATTATAAAATAAGAAATTTGACTAAAAAAAATTATAAAACTATTACAATGCCTTAATAATGTAGGATACGCACTAAAGCAGAAACTGATCCGTAAGACACATGCTAAAGCGGCACCAATTTATTTAACTTATTATTAATGCTCTATCTCTTGATATTGAGCACTATAATTGCAAATACTGCTTACTTTAACCTTACATTAGTCACTTCAGATTACTGAAAATGGATAGTCTTCTGGTGTCTGCCTCTCACAACAACTGAGATACAACTGTGCCACGCTGCGTGTTACATGCTCTCACTGAGTCCCGAGAGTAGTGGGAGGGAGTACAAGAAACAAGTTATCAACTAGTACTTAAAAATTTTGGAATAACAAGACACCCCATGTGACTAATGCAGGGTCAAATGTTTTATCTTCCAGTATTACCCTGGTTGATTTTTGACAAGATATAGTCTTTGTTATTTTAAAATATGTAAACTTTTTTAACAGTGGTTGTTGTTCGGGGCAAAACATCCATCAGTAAATAATAAAAGTTAATATCAAAATACTAAGAAAAGTGTACTTACTCTTTAAGTTCATATTTGTACACACTGACACGAACTGCTTTGTTGTACAAGGATGAGATGGCTGTATTGATGTCAGAGGATACCCTTCGGAAGTTTTCACTATGTCTGTCGGACAATCCATTTGTATTGCTTATGTACGTTATGTAGAATTGTATTCTGTAAAAGTCTGCAAAGAACAATAAAAAGTAATTAATTAATTGTTAATTATTGATTAATTGAAGACTGAGTGCCAAAACATGTATAAACAAGATTTGCAAAATTTGTGTTTAATCATTGTATATTTTTTTACCTACCACCAAAAACGTTTTTTTCCTTAGTGCAAAAAATGACTAAAGTTACAGTATTTGACCGCATGTTAGCTCAACTTATATTTCGGTAGAGAATATTGAGAAAATTTAGTCAAATTAGTTATGAAACTAAGTTAGATGTAGATTTCCTGAACAGGAACTACAAGTCAGAGGCATGCAATATATTTTCTTGTACTATACAAGAACACAAATTGAAGCTAAAAATATTTAATTTACCACCAAAGCTCAACATCACAATTGAAATCAAGATCTACCTGTTGTACATTGTATGCCCTCTTGGAGATCAAGATAAGAGTTGGGCACCATGTATCATTTGCTCAGCTTGTTCCAATAGACTAAGGGATTGGCTTAAAAAAAAAAAAAAAAAAAAAAAGAGAATAATGCCATTTGGAGTAACTATATGGAGAGAACCAAAGGATCATTTCAAAGACTTATTTTGGCATAGTTAAATGTATATGGGTTTGCAGTTAAGATCAAGCATAAGATTGTGTATCCCAACTTAGAATCAGTAAAATGACCAGTCCCACACAATGATGACGACCTTTCTGTTCAAGTACCACTGGAGAATAGCCTTCAAATGTTTGACAAATTGGTACTTTGTGAGGAAGCTTCTAGTGATATGGAAACAAAGTGGATGCAGTTTTTGTTCTTGAAAATGAAGAGAGACCAAAGAAATTTTCTGAAGGAGAGTTAAATAATTTGGTTGGAAACTTGGTATTGTTAAATGTTAAAGCTGAAATTCTAGCATCTTACCTCAAAGAAAAGTACCTGCTTAAGGATAATGTTTGTATTAATCATTTCAGAAAGAGAAATAAAGATCTGATTTCTTTCCTCTCTGTAGATGGACAGCTTTGTTTCTGTAATAACAATGATGAGTTATTTCATGGTTTGTGCCAAGAACATGTTTCATGTGAATGGCACTTATTCATTGCTTCATCTAAGTCTTAAGGCAGTACTACTACACAACGGCAATAAAAAAACATCCCTTTCCATTGAACATTCAGTGCACATGAAGGAGTGTTATGAGGATATGCAGGTATTCATTGATGCCTTAAAGTACTCAGAATACCATTGAAATATATAAAGACTTAAAGATGATTGAAATGTTAATGGGAATGCAGCCTGGATTCACAAAATATTGCTACTTTTTATGCTTTTGGGACAGTTATGCAACGGCCAAGCACTCCATGCAATCAGAGTAGCCCCAGCAAGAAGCATATGAACCAAGAGTATCTAACATCCAGAGTAAGCCATTAGTAAAGCCAGAAAATGTTCTTCACCCTCTTTGTATAAAGCTTGGACTCATGAGACAATATGCGAAAATACTTGCCAGGAAGCACTCAGAAGGCTTTGAATATGTGAAGGCCAAGTACCCAAAAGTCATCAAAGCAAAACTGAAGGATGGCATATTGGTAGGTCCGCAGATAAAGGAATTCCTCAAATACAACTTCATCAAAATCCTGAATGAACTTAAAGCCTGGAAATCCTTTAAGTGGATCTGTGAACATTTTCTGGGTAACAAGAGATCTCAAGATTTTAAAACTGGATTAAAATGTCTTTTAGAGTCTTTTGTCACTGAAAATCAATTTCCTTAATTCCCATCTGGATTTTTTTTGGGGGGGGGGCAGTGTCTGAGATCAAGAGGAACACTTTCATCAAGACATGGCATAAATGGAGCAACAATATCAAGGATGTTGGAATAAAGGAATGCTGACTACTGTTGGATGTTATACATGGATGAACTGGAGAATAAGCACCAGAGAAAGTCTAAATCCCAAAGATTTTAAGTTCTAATTCACTAGAGAGTATTATAGCTTTATTTCACGCAATAAATGCCCACAAAGATGTCATATCTTTTATTTATTCAAAACTGTGGAAAAGACAATTGGAAACCACTCTACCATACAAGATCAGTCTGAAAAGTAAAGAGACTTGGTGTACTGTGAGTTCTTGCCACAGGACCAGATGATTAATCAGCAAGTCTACAAAGAGATCCTATGGCATTTACTTTGCTCAGTGTGCAAGAAGAGATGAGAGTTGTAGCAGGACAAATTGTGATTGCTCACAACACCCTGAGCATCCAGCAGTTCTCAGCCATGAAAAACATTGCCGTACTGGAACAACCTCCCTATTCACCTGATCTTGCTCCGTGTGACTTTTTCTTTTTGTCAAGGTCAAGAAGGTCATCAAGGGGATTTGTTTTGAAGGCATGGAGGCCATCAAGAAAGCTGTAACGACAGAGCTGAAGATTATCCAAGAAAAATTCTTCCAGCAGTACCTGGCAGAGAAGGATGGAAAATTGCATTAGACTTTAATTACTTTAAAGGGGAAACCATGTAGTTTGTTTTTTGGAAGTTAGCAGCTTAAAGTTAATAGATAAAAATTATCTATGTAAAGACATGTTTGGACAAATTTTGAAATTTAAAAAACAATGAAAATGCCAGGAAGTCTAATAAAATTACCATTTTAGTAGAAGGATTATCAATTCCATAGTCACAGCTAAATGAAAGTGTAGGCTGGTAAATAAGTAGAGTGACCATATCTGAACATTGAAAAATGAAGACATTCCTGAAGATTTCCTATGCCTGACTGCTATATACTTTGATGCTAGCTAGTCTTGAAGCAGCCATAACAATTAATTTGGCATTTGCATAACATACCATATTTCCTGGTACTGAAAATTCTAGTAATTTTTTTCAAAAAAATGTATTGCTGGTAATATTTTTTTCCTCAAAAATGTATTGCTTGTAATATTTTTTTTTTTTAAAATGTATTGCTGGTAATAGTTTTTTCTTTGAAAATTTATTGCTGATAATTTTTTTACAAAGTATTTCTGGTATTAAAAAACGTATTTTTACACTTTCATAGTGCTTTTACACCAGTTTTGGGGTTAACTATTTGACCATAGCTGGTACCCTAACAGATGCTACCAGCCCAGGTCAGGGTGGACCTGGGAACACCAGCAATTAAGAGGTGGTTCCACGCTCCTCAAAGCCGCCTGATCAGAGGCCTTGCTGTTGGACGTAGTTTATCATCTTACCCAGGACGTGGATGTACTTTATCGTCATACCCAGGATGCCCCACTGAGGGGGGGGGTCTTACCCCTCTACAGAGGTGCAGTCAGCGTATTCTACAGCCCCAGCTGACAGGGTGAACAAAGGTGGAAGATGGAATCTGTGTTCCCAGTTTAAATTCCAGCTGTTACTAATTTTTGTTTTATACTAATGCTCTTTGAGAAAAACATGGATTCATATCTGTTCCAGCCTATTACTTGATATCATTGAAAAAAAAAAAAAAAAAAAGCCATGATAGTTGATGAAAAAATAAAAGGCAATGAGTGAGCACCTCAATAAACCACTCCCTCCATAAATATTTTACCTGTCTAGGCAACAATAAGATAAAAAAATTGAATCTTCATTAAACTTAAACATAACAGACTATTTTTTTCTTTTATAAACATTACCTGGATATATAGCTGTATTTTTTAGACCACTTCCGTCATCTCCTGAGCCAGCATCACTTAAGAGGTCTTCATCATCTATAAATGTTGTTACTACTTTGCTTTTTTGCATTAGTGTAAAATCATTGTCATCAAATTCAAATTCATTCTCCTGAAAAATAAAAGACAAAATATTTATTTACAAAGACATATTAATTTCATTATATATACAAGTAAGGTCTTCTCAATGGTAGAAAACGAGTTTTAGACAAGATAAAATAATGAAACTCATATCAAAAAAAAAAAATTGCAATATGAGCAGTGGTAAAAATTGTTGCTGAAGACATTAGGTTTATAATACTCAGAAATTCATACACAAGGACACATGGCACAGTGGATAAAGGCATTAGTTAGATCCAGTGACAGGATCCAAAGAGTGTGAGTTCAATACCCGGTTAAGGCAGTGGAGAACTTGGAGAGGGGAATTAACCGGAAATAACTGACATTCATTAAATATGGCATGTGGAACTAGAACAGTCTACCCCAGTGAGCAAAATAAAGGGTTCAGTTCGACATTCCAACCACTTGGCTGAAACATTGTAATAAATATGGTGACAAAGATGAGGACAATAGTTCAAGTAATGTAAATAGTATATCAAAATGAATTTGTTTCTCTTCAAACTTATAAGTTTATTTTTCAACAGTTTCCATTTAATACTACACCTTTTCAAAATATTCTGTCATATTTTTCCATTCCTCTAGGAAGAAAATTTCTGGTTTGCTTTCGATTCAACTGTATACAGCAAACTGACTTCAAATAAAATTTCAATTTTCGGAACAAATAGCAGACTGTATGAATGGTGTGCAATGATTGTGAATTTTAGGATTCTCTCTGCACTATTTGGTGACTCATATATGGCCTTGTAATGTTATGATGCAAAAAATTCTTTCACAGTTTATTTTGTGATAGATTAATGTGTGTTCACAAGGTTTCATTGCTTTCATATGTCTGAAATCTGATTGGTGTACAACATCCTAGTGACAAAAATTCTATCATTGATCATTGTTTTATATGTAAATCATAAATAGTACTCATGACTAATTACTCAATGACATCAGACAAAAGACATTAAGCAAGTTTAAATAGGACTAAATACGAAGACATTCAATCATATTTCTATCTAAACTTTTAGTGACACGATTATTTACACCTTAAATGACATACAAAAACTAATCAAAAAACTCACAAATAATATTTTCAGAAATTCAGCACATGATTTCTTTAATTTTCACAAAGCTATGCATATGTTATGTCTTTCAGCAATAACACAATTCAAATCATAAAAAGTTTACTTAAGTGACTCTCTATATTCAACAAGAAATAAACTTAAGTTTCTGAGATGAAGCATTATCAATTGTCATTAATTTTTGAAGAGTAATTCTTTCATCTTATTTCTGATGCTTAACTAGTAAGCAATATAGATCAGAAATAAAGAATGTTTGTAAAGAGTTTTAAATTTCCATTTCTTACACTCACAAAGCCTGCCTGTCCAGGGCAGCTGCTTTAATTAGGCTACAAAGAACAACTGGTAACAAAAATTCAGTTCTAATGATATAGTTTTCATTCTTCATTTTCCTCTGTGTGATATTTCATCTTATTTATTAATATACACTTATAGTATTAGAAAGAATATTTACAGTGGGAGGGATGGTGGAGCAATGGATAGTGGCTTGGATTGAGGAATCCGAGAGCTGAGTTTGAATTCCAGTCGAATCCATTACATTCACTTATGTGCTAATATCCTTGGGAAAGGTATGAATCCTCTTCTCCCCCGCCAGCTATGGGTAAATAGCAGGAAAGCCTTGGATAGCAACTGGTCTACCACAGAAATAAATGGCAATCTACTGCAGTAAAAAAATCTCCCTCATCAGTCATATATCTTGCATTACATGATCGCCTAAGAGTGTATGATGCATGGCATTTTAAAAAAAAAAAGAAGTATTAAATGCAATATTATTTGAATTGCTTAGATGAAGCATTGTGAGTTATTATTCATTTCTAACTTATTTCTTTCATCTTATTTCTTTTATGTTATTTACAGTTCTTTTAAGTACCATTTTCTTTTAGGACATGACCAATGTGGAGAATCATGATCAACTATGTCTTGAAGGGATATAGTATTAAAAATATATCACAGGTAGGATTTATTAAACAATTATATCAAAACCTTTATGATTATGCATAAAGTGACACAGCAAATCTATCCAGCAGAATTTTTTGCAGTTATAACAAAGTACAGGAGAAGAGGAAATGGAATGTAGAATAAGATGCACTAGAGGTAGTTTCACACAACACCACAAGTTGCTACCAAACCAAAACATTAACATAAAAACTAGAGTCATGTTCTTAAATAACCTCATCAGATTGAGACTTACATATGGATGCTTTACATGGCACCAAACCCATCTGAATACAACTGCTTCCTAAGATCAATGGTGAAAAAAGGTTTTGAGTAAATGAATCCTGGGGGCCTTGGAAAAAAAAAATCATCCTTTTTTGAACATTGTAGACTGGCACTACAGATTCCCAAAGAACTGTACCAAATAACAGAAATCAAATCACTTATGGACTAGTAATAACTAAAATGGATAGCATGTAATTTGAGAAGAAAATAATGAAATAATCAAGATGTTAACATTCCACACTACTTAAAATGAAAGGTTAGGAAGGAAACTCCTATCAATACTGGAAAAAGTGATAGCAGCAACTGAACTTGAGAAACCTGTTTTTCTGAAAATTGTTTTAAGAGAAAGATTTTATAAATTTCAACTAAAAGTGGTACTGGCTGTTCAGTCAATGAATGCCAAATGTTTCCTTGTAGGGAAAGGGTTAATATTACCATTACTATTGTGTTAAGAGAGTGGAAGGGACATGTATTTTAAGATATTGACAGTTACTGGTGTGTTACTATTTTTTTTTTATCATTCCACTCCAAAGATGGCAATAAAGCTACAAGATGCAGCAAGTTACTGAATGAGAAAGAAAAAAAAAAACATTGTTAAGAAGTGAGAACAGCAGAAGAGAAATCAAGAAAACAGTAGATAACAATTGAGATTGCATTTAAATTTTTGAAGATTAAAGTTGGCTGGAAAACATGGATCCGGAAGTGAGTTCCACAAGCGGGAAGTGCATGTAAAGAAACTGATAGCATAAAAATTACAGTTGCATCTAGCCATTTCAACCTTAAAATGAAGAGACCTTGCTGCCAGTCTAGTACTGCATGTAAATTCATGATATCTAGGTACTATTGAGTAAAGTTCATCAGAACAATTACCATGAAAGTATTTATAGAAAAGCCACAGGGAAGCTACATTATGGTAGCGGGAAAGGGACTGAATCCAAAATGCCAAGCCAGGGACAACAGTATTGCTGATTCTTCTTTGGATTTTATCAAGAATTTCTAAACAATATTTTTTAAAATATAACAGGAGCACTGATGTATATGTAGCAACAATTTTAAAACATGGATAAATGGTAGACTTATAAATATGTAAGATTGATTCTGGTGAGAAAAATTGCCTAGCACTACACAGTGAACCAACTTTCTTAGCAGCAGATGGTATTAAAAAAAAAGAAAAAAAAAGGGATGTCTGATATAGTGCACTTTGCCCTGTCTGTAATATGACGTAGTTTATTTGCTGCTGACGCATAGTTCTTGGCATAAAGCCATAAGTTTAAAATTGGCTGACTACCGGGTGTTTTTTGGGAGTGGGTATGTGATAAAGGAGTAAAGGGAAACTTCCTGTTATTTTTTTCTTTTCGTCTTTTCAAACTTCCTTCTTTGATTCCAGCAAAGCACAATCACCAACTCCATTTTTTTTTCTTTCTGTCTTCAACTTTCACATTACTTCACTCAAGAGTTCTTAAGAGAATTTCTTCTAGTACGAGGGATGATTAGGTGTGGCTTGATTTGCAGCAGTTGGTGGCTGAAAAAAAGTGATGGGTGAGAGCTGTTGGGTGGGCAAGGCAAAGTACTATTTAAAATTATTTTCTCAGGCTACTCACAAATACCCCAGCCTCTTATTTTCTCTTTTCATCTTTTCTTTGCACCTTTTCTTTCTTTCCTTCCTATTATTTTCTTCTTTCTCTGTTCATATTTTATTTCTCCCTCTTGATTTGATTACCTTTTCTCTTTATTTTGCTCTCCTCTTCCTCCTCTATTTCCTATTTCTTTTCTCCCTATATTTCTGTATATATTTCATCTATTTCTTTCCTCCCTCTTGATATGATTGCCTTTTCTTCTCAACGTCTTCTTCTACCCTTTCTTTTTCTCTTATTTGCTTTTCCTTATCTTTCTCATTTTCTGATTCTTTTCTTACTCTTCTCACTAGCCAACATCAGTATGTTTACCAATTTGCAAGCAGGAGACATCAAGAAAGCAGACTGATTCTGACAATAATCAAAGAGTCTCAGTAGATTCACCCACCATTATACCAGATTCCTTGTTACATATTTGTGTAAATTTATAAACACATCTTGGGCAGAACTTGGTGTCTTCTACCAAAGGCTGAATCTTTACTCCAAGTTAGAGAAATAAAATTAAATACTATAATTAGTTGAAACACACAATTGTTAATCAGTAACACACCCTGTGTCTTAGTGGCTTTATTGCCTTGCTTGGGGTGAAATGATTAAAAAATATTATCATTATACTTTTAAAGTATACAGACAATTATTCATCTCAAAATGAAATAGAATATTATCTAAATTATAAAATGCAGTATGACCCCACCATAATAAAGAAATACCAAAATTGAATATAAATTTCTTGCTCCCCTGCTACCTAAAATCTTCAAAAATTTAAATGCAGCAACAATGGCCCACTTTTGTCTTCTTGAACCCTGTTCCTTTATTGTCCTTTCCTCATCCCTCCTCACTAAAGTCTTTTCATTCTCTTTCATTCCCTGATCACCTGTGTCCTAGGGGCATTATTACCTTGCTTGGGGTGAAATGATTAAAAAAAAAAAAAAAATTCCCATAGTAGCCAAATAATGAACACATGAACTTGGCTGAAATGTATCTATAATAACAGCTATAATAACCAAGATGAGAAAAAATAATCAAGCTAATTA